TTTAGTCGATTGTTATAGCAAAAATACGTTTGTTTCATCGACAATCCCACCAAAGAATGTGCTATGGAATGAACCTAGACTTCCCTGAAATTCACATCTGCTCTGTCATCCAAGGGTACTCGTGGCGATGTGGTTAAGTGGTTAACGTATCAAGCTCACATGCAGCACAATTATCTTCACCATCTTAAACGAAATAGGGTCAATTCATCTCATAGAAATGACTTGACTGAAAGTATTAGGCCTGGACAAAATTTCCATTTACACTTAATTGAATATAATATCTCTTTAATAAGGTATACATTTTTCGAGAGAGACTAACAGCTAAACAATCAGCGACTGGCATATTCCAATTTTTCCGCAATATCTTCTTTTGAATTGGTGAGGAAGTAAGATGAAAGCAGTTGTCAGAGCATTACTTACGCACTCTTCGATTGAGCTCACTTTCGGAGAGAGTCAACTGGTACAAAATTTCATGTTCATTCGGCTTCCCTTAGGTTGATAAGACCTGTGGCCGTATTCGCCAAAGTTTGGCGAGCACAAAAATTCTTGTAAAAGAAGCCCAGTCCAGCGGTCAGGCATGGCGTCAGCAAAATTCCTTCTTCAATTTCCTCGAGCGTTTCGCGTTACACCTCTTCCTCTTTCCATCCTTCCGTCCCATCTTTTCCTTCATGACCGTTTCTCTCGTGTCCTGTGCGAGTTAAGTTTTCGACCAGCTCCGCTTTTTCGGCCCACAAACCCTCTTGCAGGCTGCTTTGTCTTTGGATAAAGTTGGGTTATCCAAAGTAGGTGGGTTTGCAGTGGGCAGTTGGTCAACTTTTGTGAAAAAGTGGTTTGGCCTGAAGACCTCCTTCACACATCGGACCAAAGTTTAACAAGTATTCATCGGGTTGCGGGACGATGAGGCGATGATTCATTTGCACAAATCTACAGTCGCAGTCCCAAGGCAACCAGTCCCTTTCGACTTCAGGGGAGACCAACTTACGATTCCCTTCCACCCGCTACTCCAAACGATATGAAATATAATCGAAGGTATAAAGACCAAGATGGTGTGGTTTTGTGTGTGGTCGCAGTCTCCTTTCGTTGTGTAGAGGTTGTTTGACCTTGTTTTCGCAACATGGTCATATTGGTAA